AAATCATGGAATCCTGGAATGGTTTGGGTTAAAGATCATTAAAGATCATCTCATTCCACCCCCTGCCATGGGCAGGGACACCTTCCACCAGCCCAGGTTGATCCAACCTGGCCTTGGACACTTCCAGGGATCCAGGGGCAGCCACAGCTTCTCTGCCCAACCTGGGCCAGGGCCTCACCACCCTCACAGACAACAATTCCTTCTCCCCTTTTCCAGTGGGAAGCCATTCCCCCTCGTCCTGTCCCTCTAGAGCCTTACCCAAATCCCTTCCCAACATCCACCTAAATCCTCCCTTTCCAGTCTGAAGCCACAACTGAATCACAAAGCAACCCATTTGGGTCCTATTTACGTTTCCCAAAGCAAATCAAGGCTCTTCCCTGGTCCCTGTGTCCACGATCCGGGACTTTCCCAGTTCCCTGATGCAAAGCAGACCCGTGGCCCGACCGTGATCGGAGCGCGCGGCTCCGAACTGGAACGAGCGAGACACACCAAAAAAAAAAAAAAAAAAAGAAAAGGGCATATTTCATCCTCCTCTTTTGTGGCTTTTATTTTCTTTTGTATTCGCTTTGGGAATAACATTCTTTCCATTGGGAAGAGCCTGATTTTCCATTAAATACAAAGCAGCTGCCATTTTGGAAACAAAAAGTTGATTAAACACAGATTTTTTTTTTTTTTTTAATTATTATTCCCCCTCCCCCCCAACGTACAGAGAGCGAGAGCCACGTTTCTTTCAGCTGATTTATCGGGGCAAAGGCATCTGCCAACGATGGCAGCAGGAAGACTTGAAAGAGAGGGAACGGGATCATCTTTCCCGAATGATTTTACAATTACAATTTGACGTTCCATCAAAGGGGAAGGATCCCCAGGCTTGGAGCGCGGTGCCCGCCCTCTGGGACGCTGACTCCAGGGGCTCCTCACCCTTCACTCACACAGGGATGCTCCAGATTCCCAATTTACGCAGATTCCTGCTCGTTGGGATGCCGAGGGGACGTCGGTGTGACGTGTGGAAACGCAACCGGCACAGACACGACTGAAGGGCCAGATGTTGAGCAGACAGGAGAAAAGGATGAGCTCCAAACACCAAAAAAAAATTAAAAAAAAAACCCCAAACCACCCACTGCATTTCCACTCCGTGAGCCATCAGAGCTCTGTCCAGGAGATCTTCAGGGTTCCAAGCAGGCCCTGATCCACGAGTGACCGACGCAAAGAACCTTCAGCCTTTTCCCCCAAAAACTAAACCATGTGCTAAATTTTCAATATTTAGGTGTTACATAAGGAAAATATGGGAGAAACAGAGAGATGGATGGGGAAGGCTGTAGGGATCAGTGATACCTTGGCTTTTAATTAACCCCTGAGTTCATCCTTATTTGGGGCCCTTCCTGAAACATGACGGATGCCGGCGACCCTGAGAAATCCGTGAGGATTTGCTCTTTTCAAGGCTTTTCCTCTGCTGCTATTACACCCAGCCAAGGTTGGAATTTCCAGGGAGAACATCTCTCTCTGGAAAGACACCCCGTGATGGTCACCAAAGAAGGGTGTCCTTCAACCATGCCAAGGAATCTCAACCACGCCCGCACCGCTGTCGGCTCCGAACGACGACCCCGAGCGCCCAACGCTGCTCCATCAACCCTCAATCCAAGTGATCCCTTCCCAAAGGGCACTGCACTTGAATTTGAGCTCCTCAAGGGCAGGGGGGTCTCCTCCCATGGGTGTTTTAAGGAAGGTAGCAGAGAGTTTAGAAGAAGATCTGCTGTCCATCAACATTCCTTTGAACATTCCCAACTTAAGAGCCTCGGAAGAGCCAGTGGACAAAACAGGAGGAAAGCAGAAAATTATTTCACTTAAACATCCTGAAGGATTAAAGAAAAAAAACAAACTAACACAAACTTTATCTTCTGGTGGGATTTTGGGAAGGTACAGGCCAAGGCTCTGCTGCAGGAAGAAGAAGGAACGTTCAGATTCCTTACTCCAAGGACGGATTTCTGGCAGCCAAATCCCCCATCCCACAACATGTCCTACTCGGTGGATGGAGGTGAGTGAAAAATAAGCACCAAGTAGCTTGAAAAAAAATCAAAGTTTGGGAACGAAAAATCCATGCCAAACACGCCAGGGTGACTCCACCGAGTGGAAGCAATGCCCAGGGAAGCGTGAACACCCTGGGTTTAAGGATTTATGGGACTGGGCATTTGAGCTTCAATTAGTTCTCCAAGTGCTGAAAGCAGACAAGAAACAATGTAATTACAGGATAACTTGGCTTAGCCAGGCTCAGCTTAACCGGCGCCCCCAGGTTAATCAGAGGTCGGAGTTTCCCCCCCCCACCAGCCAACCCTGCTGAATCCACGGGATTTGAACCCTCTGCTCCTTCCCTTAAAGCAACCACCAGTTCTCCTTCCCACCCTTTCATTTTGGAAAGCCTTTGGGATTTTGGAGACACTTGGGAACACCAGGAAAGTCCTGCTCCAGGCCACCTTCTCCCCCTCAAAGCACCCCATGTTTTAAGGGAGTTTTGCCCAACCCGCAGGGCAAGCTGGCCCAAGCCACTCCCTAAAAGGCTTGGATCATCTCTGGAGAGCAGAGGAAACCCCCCAAGGACCAACCAGGGAGGATTTGGGACTCTGCTCGTGCCCTGTCCATGTCCACACCCAGGGAATTCACTTTTTTAAATGCACATCTGTACCCACAGCACAGAGAAGCTCCCAGGATCAGCCACCGCTCCCTCCCACCAGACATTCAACCCTTATAAAATCCTTCTCTTGTCCTGCTGCTTGGTGCAATCCAATTTTTAGTTTTCCACCTCTTGCAGACACTCAGAAACAGTGATTTGCTCCCACCAATTAATCCCAGCTACCTAAAGAACCGAAAATTAGGAGGGTTACAAGGAAAATTAAGACTCTGTGGCAGTAAAGAACAAACCCAGCTAAGAGCAGCCCGGCAAAATCCCACCATGTAACGGGATTACTCCATCCCTGACCCTTTCCAGGGGAGCTCCAGGTATTATTTTCCATTGATTTACCTTAATGAAAGCAAAGCCCCCCTCTCTGTAGGAAGCTGACTCCAGAGCTGTCTAGGCACTGGATTCAATTAAAGGAATAAATACATCTGGCTTCGAAATGGCTGGAATTCTGGAAAAGCCAGAGGCAGGAGGGGCTCTTTGAGCTTCTCCCTCTGGGGCTACACCCCGAGGACACCACGTAGGGTGGGTGACACCCAACACTGCTCCTGGAAATCCAAGGACTCTTCTCACCCCCAGTTTGGGGTCTGGGGGGTTTCATGACCCTTTTCAGCCCAACTTCTCGAGCCCATGAGGCCTTTAGGGCCCGTGGGGTGTTTGCGGTCTATGGGGCTTGTGAGGCCTAGGGGGTGTATGGGGTCTATAAGGCCCGTAGGGTCTATAGGGCTAGTGAAGCCTATGGGGTATATGGGGCCTATGGGGTCTATAAGGCCTATGGGGTCCATGGGGGGCACAGGATTTGGGGAGGGGGGTACCCTGAATTGAGGGAGGGGGGGGTCAATCTTTGGGGGCTCCCCAAAATGCCAAGGGAGGAGAGCAAGGGGCAGCCCCGGGGTGAGGATGAGAGCCTGGAGGAAGAGATGGGAAGGGTGGAAAGACCTTGGTTTTGGGGGGGAGGGAGTCACAGGGTTTGGGGGGGAACATGGGGATTGGGGGGCACCCCAAAGCGTGGAGGGGAGGTCGGGAAGAAGCTGGGGGTGCTGGGGGGAGAGACTGGGATGGAAGGGTGATGGGGGGGTCTGCAGGGCAGAGGTCCTGGTGGGTGGGAAAGCAAGGTCGGGGTTTTTGGAGGGGGTTGAAAGGAGGATCCTGGGAACTCCTGACCCATCAGCCTCACCACGGGGGATTCCTGGAGCATCCCAGCCTGTTCCCTGGCTCCAGCCCTCACAGCTTTGATGGGAGCCGGCCCCAAACTGCTTTAACAAGGCTCTTTCTTCCCAGAAGCTGGTGTTGATTTGAGCCCTCGGTGTTGACTTAGAAACCCCCGGGTGCCCAGAGCCTGCAAACACTCCAGGCTTAGTTTCCAGGAAAAGGGGGACAAGCATCCAGCTGTGGCGTGGAATATCAATGTTTCCAAGGCAGTTCCAATGGAGAGAGCAGGGGTTAAAGGCTGGGACTGAAGCAGAAGCTGGGGCTGAGGCTCGCCTCACACCCACCAAAACCCAAGGCAGGCTTTGTCCACACGTGCCTTGGTTTGCAGCCATGGGAATAGAGGAAACAAGGTGGCTCAGGAGCACTTTGTTTGCAATCTACCCGTGGAGATGTCGTGGGGGTTGTTCTCCCGTACGTGGAACAAGCAGAAATGACGATTATGGGGGGGGTTGTTGAACCAGAAGGCCGGTCCTAAAGGTCTCCTTCACTTTTCTAGGGTTTTTTTTTAGTGGTGATTGCCCTGACCCACACAAGGAGAGAGCGAAGGTCAAGAATTCACGGTGGTTTTGGGGTAAAACAACAGAATCACAGAATGGTTTGAGGTGGAAGGGGCCTTAAAGACCATTTAGTTCCACCCCCCTGCCATGGGCAGGGACACCTCCTACTAGAGCAGGTTGCTCCTAGCCCTGTCCAACCTGGAATTGGACACTTCCAGTCCAAGGGAAGGCTTAGTGGTCCAAGCTCCAGGTTGGAGCACTCAGACCAGGAGGAACATCAGGCTGGAATTCCCAGGGGGGATTTCTCTGCGCAGAAGGCAGGCAGGATTTTACAAACATCTTTTCACTTTCAAGCAGAGGTGAAGCTTCCATCACGCTTTCCCCAATCACAGACATTTCCCCTAATCCCCTGCAAGTTTAAGGGGATTAAAAGAGCCACGTAAATGTTCTAAAATCAACAGTTTAGCGATGCCACTGCAACAACACATTTATGGGCAACCCGTTGGGAAGGAAACCCCTCCCCTTGGTCTCTTATTTACCACAGGATCATACAATCATTAATCCCGTAGATTTAAACTTTCAATTGCTGTTTCCCTTTTCTCTTTTCTGAGATGAAGGACCTTTTCTGGTTCAACTCCCCCCCTCGACACCAGGAGGTGAGAGCAGAGCAGACCGGACAGGCACGACACGCAAGCCTCGTACTCACCGACATGGTAGAGTGGACATCTACCTGCCCCTACAGAGGACAACACAGGGAGGTCAAGGTCAAAGGCAGAAGAGAGAAAAGCAACAGGAGAAAGGCAGAAAGGTTCACACTGGTCATTTTTGGGTCCCTTTGGAGCACAGGTGAGCAAAGTTATTAAGAAAGCAAAATAGGGGCCCGTTGGACCTGCTTTAAGGAGGGCGAGGGGAAAAACAAAGTACAACAGGAGCAGTTTAATAAGGTATCATGGAAAGGTTTGGGTTGAAGGGACCTTCAAGATCATCCAGTTCCACCCCCTGCCATGGGCAGGGACACCTTCCACCAGCCCAGGGTGCTCCAAGCCTTGTCCAACCTGGCCTTGAACATCCACAGCTTCTCTGGGCAACCTGTGCCAGGGTCTCACCACCCTCACAGCCAACAACTCCTTCCCAATATCCATCTATCCCTGCCCTCTGGCAGTGGGAAGCCATTCCCTGTGCCCTGTCCCTCCATCCCTTCTCCCAAGTCCCTTTCCAGCCTTCCTGCATTCCCTGCAAGCCAACATTCCTGCACCTCAGCTCTCCCACCTGGAAGTGATGGATGTCAAACCCCAGCGAGTGACAGAAGGGATCAGCTCCATAAAAACCTGCTCAGCCCTTCCAAGGGCAAAGGGACCTTATTTAAGCCCAGCAAACCTGAAGAAGGGTGACTTTGGTGCTCACACCACGTTTTCATGACAGTTATTTTCCACTCGGGTCCCTCCCAGCGCGGTCGAGGCTGCGGTTGGTGCAAAGTTCAAGGCATTTCACCTCCACACACGGTGCCTGGGCTTATAAATATTACAGGGGGATTTGACTTTTTTT